TGAGTTCTGCGTATCATTGGAGCAAATTAATCAAAGCCAAGGAAGCACTTAGGCAAACCCTGATTTATAGCCAGTCAGGCAGGGGCACAGATAAAATACCCTGGGGTTGTGACTGGCATCTTAAGTGTGGGGTAGGAAGCGGTCTTGGGTACTAAGCCCTTAATCTGTGGGATCTGATGCTTTCTCTAGGTGGATAACATTACAACCGAATTGGATTAGGGGACACCCAGCTGATGTCCACCGCAGAACGGGGTGCTTGCTTGCTGGTGGGGAGAAATCTCACAGCTTTTGAGTTCACGGAGGTCTTCTGTGTCAGTTGCGGTGTGAGAGTAGAGGAAAATAGGCACTTTGTTTTTCCTGGTGCGATGCACTTTCACAAAGCAAGTCTCAGCACTCTTTGTCTCTCCTCCCCAAGGTTTTGAGGAAAGCTGTGCTGTGATCCTTAAGTTCTAGTAACAGAATTAGCATAACAACTGCTGCATGAAGGCAAAGAGATCAAATGGATTTTTAAAAACCTCAGAAATATGAGATGGAGACATGAAGAAAGCGCAAGGATCTCTTCCCAGCATCCTCACCTACAGCAGGCATCCTTTACCTGCTGTCCTCCATTTGGGACACTGATTGTCAAGCAAGCAACGCTCACCAAGACTTAATTCCTACATAAGAAAGATGGGGAAGGGGTGAGGGGCCAGCCAAGCTCCTAATAAAATAACACGTTCTTAGGAATTTATCCTAAAGAAATATTTATAGAAGTAGTTATTCATCGTAGCCTTGCTAGTGATAGAAAAACATGGAAACAATCTACTTATTAACAGAAGTCTTAATAAAGATGGCAGGGTATAGCCACACAATGACAGTCTACACTGTCATTTTAAAAGTATCCAAGTAGATAAGTGTGGATAGGGAGACAGCTCCAGAGTACACCAAAAATATGCAGCACAGTACAGAGAGCACAATCTATTTAAATATGTATGCACAAAAGAAATAACTTCTCAAGCTGTTAATTTTATTTCCGTATTTTTTTGTGTCGCTTGAAAAATGTTTGATGACAGCATACTTACTGTATTTGACTTTTTTATTTTAAAGAAAAAAGATAAAAATAACAATGAAACAGTTTCAAAACAGGTTAGTAAGATAGTCATAATAATTAATACTTTGCATGTTGTTGTCTTCATCGTAATTATTCAGAGTACAAGATACAGGCATGATATCCTGTCCAAACAATATTAGCACAAACCTTTCTTTTCAGTGAACTAAGAGAAACTACCTGCATAACTATCTTAACTATCTTGTGTACACATATATTTTTTTCTTTTTCCCTTTCTTCCTTTCCCCCATCACAGTTTGTCTTTTCTTTTGAACAATTTCTTCCCAGTTCACAATATCTGTTGGATCTTATTGACTTGTTCAGTTTCTCACACTAGTGAGACAATACAATGTTTACACATAGGGGTCTGATTTATTTCACTTATGAGTAAGGGATGACAGCAGATTTAACATTAAATCCAAAAAAGAGAAATAAAAGTTCTGGAATTCCTTTGTCAGAGGCTGATACTTGTGGAATACCCTTTACCCATCCAGTGTTCTTTGAACGAGCTATGTTAGAATCAGAGAAGGACTGAAGGACTGGCGGTAATGCAGTCTATGCAGAAAAGAACAGATACTATGTCTGGATGCACTTAGGCAGAAACACAAGTAGAGAGCACCTGAACCACAGCCCTTGGGAAACTACATAGGGGTTTATAGCCCAATAGGTACAAAGCACATGCAATCCTACTGAGGATAAGAATGGTAATATATTTGAAGACAAATAATCATGAACACAACACTGGCAATTTTTAAAAATGTGTATTCATGTCACTGGAGCAGGATAGATATCTTGTGGCATAAACTTGCTTTTGTTAGCAGCAACATGAAATCGGGCCTTTTGCAGAAGCTTCCCAAAGAGGAACCAGGAATTATAAACAAGGAGATAAGGAGATGAATTAGTATCCACTTGAGGTTCAAAATAGAGATAAGACTCAGCTGGCATGAATTATTATTATTTTTAAAATATATTTTATTTTCCATTGATGAATAGTAATTGCATGTAGTTGTGGGGGACAGTGTGATATTTGCTTTTATTTTTTGCAGTGGTGGGGGTTGAACCCACCAAGAAAGTGCTCTACCAAACTACATCAACAGCACTGATATTTCCATATATTTACCCAGTCGGTAATGATCACAGTAGTGTTACTGGCATGTCTATCACCTTGGACGTATATCATTTGTGTTGGAACACTCAACATTCTCTCTACTGCCTATTTGGAAATACTCAGTTAATTGTTGTCAACTATGGCTAACCTACTATGCTAAGAATTACTTTTAATAATTAAACATTAAAACTCTACCATAGTAATGAATGAAACATGGAGAACACAAATAAAATGAAAAATATCATGATCATAAGTCACAGATAATCGCTAGTAACTGTTTATATTTATTATTTTTATTACCTATATATGAATTCCATGAGAAATTAATGATATTTTTATTATAGCATAATTTCTTTTTCATTCGGCAACTGCCCACATGTTCCTGTCAATTTTTTCCCTACTAGGAATCAAATACAGGGCTTTTGCACTGAGATTTTTTTTTTTTAATTTTGAGACAAGATCACATAAGATCAGCAAACTCACCTTGATTGTGAACATACATACAAAGTTTTATTTCATCATATGGGACCTCTAACTTGAAATTAAAAAGTTTTCCTATGAATTTCAAAGTTTTTACTTGACATGGTTTAATATTTTGTAGCAATGACAAAATTTTGAAATTGTAGGCAGGGGATATAACTTAGGGGCACAGCACTTGCCTAGCATGTGCGAGACACTGGCTTCTGTCCCCAGCACTGCCCCCCCCAAATTGCATTTAAAATAGATTGGAGCATTTAAAAATATGTAGTACAATGGAAAATGACTTCTATTTTTAAAACAAAGCAAAAATGATTAAGCTTTAAAATAAATGTATATGGTCTGATAAGAATAAATCTTTAGTTGGGCATGGTGGCATGTGCCTGTAATTCCAGTACTCAGGAAGCTGAGGCACAAGGATTGCCTCAAATCTGAGGCAAGCCTGGATTATCAAACAAGATCCTGTGTCCAAAAAAAAAAAAAAAGAAAGAAATTTCATAGCAGTGCAGGCCTGTGACCCCAGCTACCTGGGAGGCCGAGGCAGGAGGATCGCAAGTTCAAGGCCAGTGTAGGCAATATAGTGAGACTCTGTCTTTAAAAGTAAAAAAAGGGCTAGGGATCTAACATAGTGGCAGCGTGCTTGCATAGCATGCCTAAATCCTGTTACTGGGTTTGATCTTCAGTAAAAGAGGAAAAGTCTTATTTTTTAAACTTGTTCATTTAATAGTGTTCCTTAAGCAAATCTTATGACAAACCATGCATTTTTCTCCTTTCAAAATGAGGTTATTTGTGATTAATCACACATACATCTACTGTTCTTTTCCCTCTCTAACACACTTCATGTAAAGCATTCTCTATTTCCTGGAACACATAACATATGTTAGTCAGTAGACTCTAAAAACAATCTGCTTCCAAAACTCTAAACACCTATCATCCTATCCTTTTCTTCTGCCCAAACTATATCCTGGAAACTAACTCCTAATTGCTTTGGAGTCCACGAATCCCTGTCACCAAGCCATTTGGTCACGATGAACACCGCCTGAGATGAATCACACCTGCCTATAATACCTCCCTCCTACCACAGGGTTGCAAGTGACTCCGACAACTGCTTTCACCAACGTGTCACTGAGCTGTGAAAAGAGCAAATATGAACATGTGAAACGCTTCCTCCTTTGAACACATAATCTCTCTGTCCCAGTGACATTCTGAAGGGCGGTGCCCATTTGCTTGGCTCTCTCTGGCTGTGTCAATTAACCTGCAACACGAAACGCCTGTTGCACGGTCACTAACAAACCACAAGCCGCTGTAATCCCATTTGCCCAGAGCTCGTGGCAGATCCTGTGCAGCTAGCACCACGGGGCGGAGCAAGGGTCTGGCCACGGCGGGCTGCTGGGAGAGTCCTCGCCTCCAGCCTGCGAAGTGTGTCTGTGACCAGGGACAGGGGTGGTTTGTGGCTTTACACACAAGGCACCCTTCCTGCATCCCTGGAACAGAGCAGAACAAGGAGAGGATGGGAGGTTCTTCTTCCCCATCACCTTCTCTAAATTCTCCTCCCCTTTTGATTGCATTTTGCATTTTTCCATTCCTCTTGCTAGGCCATGTCACACATATAACTTCCAAAACCCAGTGAAGCTTATTTGCAAGGCAGAATGAAGCCAACACAGAGAGGAGGTGTGTATATGTTTGTGTGTGTGTGTGAGAGAGAGAGAGAGAGACAGACAGACAGACAGAGATGTGACAAGATCAGCGGAGAGAAGTGTGACAAGATCAGCAGGACCCCAGCCATCCTCATCTTCCCCAATTACTCACAGTTCCTTCTTCACCGACACTTAGCAAGTTGGGTCTCTGTCCCATGCAACCAAAGAAATCCTAAGACAGCACAGTAGACACCCACACTGCTTGAGATAAAACAGCACGTGGGTTTGCTTTTAGCCTTAAACTTCCCACCCGCGTTGCCTTTGGACTCTTCCTCCTAAAGGCCGCGCCATTATGCTTCCCCAGTCAGACATGGAACAACTTCTAGCCTTGCTTTTCCTCCTTACAGACCTAGCTTCTGTGCGGAGACGTGTCCCAAGAAAAGCAAGGTCCATCCATAACGCCATGGCTGGTTTGTCCCGAAAATGACTACTTCTGATCCCTTTCACAATGATTTTTTGGGTAATTTCTGTGCTGTCAACTGGGCAACACAGCATGTCACAAAAACAAACACAGGCTGTTCTTACCTAGCCTGAAGCATCCATTGCTACTTCCCCCTCCTCTCATAAAGCTTGGCGCGCTTTTGTTTGGTGTGGTTTGGTTGGTAAGGGACGCAGGGGAGGGGTCACTCACCCTCTTTGGTATCTGTCCAGCTCATGGAGCACGGTGCACTCACAGTACTCAAACACCAGGTGGAGCCTCCGCTTTCTCCTGAACACCTCCAGCAGGTTGACCAGGTTGGGATGCTTGAGTTGCTGCGAACCCCAAAAGGCAAAGTGGTAAATCTCCACAGCGGAGGACAGTTTTCTCTACATTTTATCTCATAAAAAGAAAGCCGGTTTCCTTGACGAGGTGCAGTTCTTGGCTTAAAGAAGGTTGTACCCAGCTTTATCTTACCTCACTTCCTGGGCTCTTTGTCAGTAGCCTACAAGTAAAAAATAATTATAACCTAGGTAGCTGGTGAAAACAAAGACCGTTGGGAAAGAAGAAGGCTGGTGAAAAAATGAGAATGAACAAGGAAGGGAGGTTACAAGTAAACACAAGCTCAGCACAAAGCGAGGATCGAATGTCCTTTCTTGGGTTTCCCTGGATCTCCCCAGCCCAGTTCAGTGCCCCGCCTGTCTCAAGGTCACCCTAAAGCCTGTGTTTTCCGCAATTACTAAGTAATTCTAAACAGTAAGTATATATAATCCTCAGTAATTATTGTTCCATTAGCTGTTTAATGGCCTCAGGGGTCCACAGGTACCTACAGATACGTAAATAAATCCAGGAGAACATACAAACCAGGGCATGACGCCCGTGTTCTCTTGCTTACTCAGAATGATGTTACTGTACCTCTAGCTCTGGCCTTGCACATAACAGTCACTCATAATGATTTGTGAACACGCGAGGAGGTATGTTTCCAGCGCTGGTGGACCGTGTTACAGCAGAACAATAAGGAAGCTGTCCGACCGGATGTGCTGCCAAAGTGCATCTAGAAAAGGGCAGAGATGGATGCTGGCTTGACGGAGATAAAGCTCGATTTCACCTTCTGGCTGCTCTGTACATAACCCTATCAGACACCGCCACTGAGCACTGACTTCTCTTTTTCTGAAGAAGAAAGTAAGACTTGTACTAGGGAAGACAAAAAGGAAAACACATCCCTGGACCCCCTTTCTACTGTGCCTTTTCTCGTTTTGTTCACTCGTACATCACCACTAACATCCACCTTATTTATTGCAGGATTTTAACAGTACGACTCCCCTTTTCCCAAGTTTTCTTTGATAGTATCACCAAATAATTTTCCATAGTAATTTCTCACTCAGAAGTTGCTTGACCATATTCACTTTGTCCTTACTTTAAAAAACTGTAGTAAATGCATCCGGCATGAAACTTACCACCTTAACCACTTTTAAAAGTATAGTTCAGGGATCCTAAATGTATTCATGTTGTTGTAACACTACAACCACATCCATCTCCAGAACGCTTCATTTGCAAAACTAAAACTCTGTTCAGTTCCATTAAACAAAACTCCCCATGTCTTCCTCTCCCAAGTCATTGGCAGCCCCCATTCTGCTTTCGATATCCCCGACTTTTTGTTTTTTGAGACAGGGTCTTGCTATATAGTTCAGCTGGCTTTGAATTCACTATGTAGCCTCAAACTGGTGGGAATCCTCCTGCCTCAGCCTCCCAAGTGCAGGGATTATAGATATACACCACCAGGCCTGGCTCTTGATATCCGTGATTTTGACCACTCTTGGTGCCTCAAACAGGTGGAATTATACAGGATTTGCCTTCTTGAGACAGGTTTATTTCTCTTATGATAAAATATCCCCAAGGGTCATCCATAGTACAACATATGTCAGAATTTCCTTTGTTTTTAAGGCTGACCAATATTCCACTGTATGCACATACCACATTTTGTTTGCCCAATCATCTGTTGATTGATGGATATTTGTTTGCTTCTACCATTTGACTATTGTGAATAATGCTGCTAGGAATGTGGGTGTTCAGATATTTCTCTGTGACCCAGCTTTGAATTCTTTTGGTAGTAGGCAAGTGTTTGGTATCTATTTTACTTTTCTCCCCAAAGTCCTCCAGGTGATTCAATGAGCAGCCAGAGGTCTAACTCAAAAGCAAGCATGTATTACATAAGTGATAAAAGCTAGGGAGAAAAACTGGAGCACTTGGATTACGTGCTGTCACACATTGTTATGGGTCACAGAGACAGTTATTTGCTCATTTTCTTTGTAAAATCCCTCTGCACTCTCAGGATGAAGAAATTCCAGCTCCAGATAGCACACCTGATGAAACAAGTATGAATCACCCAAGATATGCTAAAGCCCATAGCATACAGTCCGTTTGTGCTGTCAGAACAAAATACCTTAGATTGGGAAATTTATAAAGAACAGGAACTTCTTTCTCACAGCTCTGCAGCCTGCAAAGTCCAAGGTGAAGAAGGCCCCAGGCCTGGCGGTGGTGCTGTTGCTCCCCGCTTCCCACGCCCGAGGCAGAAAAACAGGCGATCTCACTCTTCCACTTGAAGCCCATTGACTTGTTTTATTTCTTGCAGGGCTGGGAATCCCGCCCAGGGCCTTGCCCATGCTAAGAGCCCTTCAATCGCTGAGCTCCTTATTCCTTCAGTCCCTGAGTCCTTTTGTAAGGGTGTGAACCCCAACCATGAGGCAGAGCCCTCAGGTCTCCCCAGGCCACGCCTCTTAGCACCGCTGCACCGGGGTTAAGTTTCAACATGAATTCTGGAGAGAACACCGGCGTCCAAATCAAAGCAGTCCATTAGTCATGTTCGGGTCTTAGAACAGGGCACGGCAAGCTATGAAATGCCACTTTTATGTCACCACCCCCAGAAATGTTTAGCCTGAGCTAACATTTTCCAGACACAGCAGGAAAGAACTATGCTCTTAAACCCAAAATGGCCTTGGTGCAGGTGTCTCAAATGCAAAGCAAGAGACCCAAACGAAGGGGCTAAATCGCAGCTTCGTATCAGAATTAGCCGAAAGCAGAGGTTCTCTTTCAGACTGAAGAATCATCATCCTGAGGCTTGACTCTCCCTTTTGTACTACTTCCTCCTTTGACAGACTGTGATAGTGAAGCCCAGACTCCAATCTTAGGGTATTTAATTTCTGGTGTTCCGCGTCTAGTTCCCACTTTCATCCCTGGCCTACTTTTTAAGCAAAAGTAGAAAAGCATAATTTTACCCAAACAAATCCCACTCTTCTCTTCATGGCAGGACTGGTGGCTCCATCTGCAGGGATCGCCACAGGGCTCTGCTGCCCCAGGCCCAAAGGTCTGCCTCATGTGCCTCTGCTTAGCTGTCCGGCCTCATCACTCACCGCTTCCTCCTAGACCACTGAACTTCTACATCTTGGGAAGGCTCACGCCCCTTTCTGTTTCAGAGTTTGTTTGGTTTGCTCTCTCTGAAATAGTCCCCACCTCTAGACATCACCTTCTGTGTCCAGCATCCTCTGGTCCGTCCCGACACAGCTAGGATGCACTAAAGCAGCTGTGTGTGACCCTGGATCCCAAGCAAGGGTACCACCGTGGCGCTGACACAGCGGTATCCACTGTTCTGAATGGGACCAGTAGCTATTTATTACACCCATCCTGGGTTACTATCTACCTTTGAAAACTCAGATTCTAGCACTGCGTGATATTCTACTCAAATAGCATGTTCGTTCTTTCCAGTTTCTTCAATAGTACAAATAGGCCTGTGATGAACAACTCACTAGAAAGTTGACTTAACTTGGGAAAGTTAATTTGCTTCTCTAGACATCAGTTTTCCAAAAGTAGGAAGCTCACAGGCTGCAGTGATAAGTGCACATTAACCCCGTACAGTTATATCAAGCACCTCTGACCTTTAAGATTTAAGGCCAGCTCTTAACAGTGTTTTTTTGTTTTTGTTTTTGTTTTTGTTTTTTGTCTTTTTGAGACAGGGTCTCACTATGCAGTTCAGGCTGGCCTTGAGCTCACTTCGTAGCCCAGGCTGGTCTGGAACTCACAACTATCTTCCTGCCTCAGCCTCCCGAGTGCTGGGATTACAGGTGTGTGCCACCATGCCCAGCTAACAGTGTTGCTTTGAGTTACATCTATTTTGATTTGAGATGATCTTCTCTAGTCATTTTATTCAAGAACTATTTATGTATCTTAAGGTACACAAGGTACTGCGACAGTCCTACAGATAAAAGCTAGGAACATAGCAGGGGAGACAGACATTGGATGAGCCACTCTAGAAGTAATAGATGTTACGGTGCTCAAGGTAAAGGTCCTTGATTTGAGGATTTGAGGATGAGGAAGCGGTTTATTAAATTAGTGGTTCACTAACTGAGACTAAACTAAAGTTTCCTAGGTATCACATAGAGCCTCAAAATACTACTTTATGGTTCTAAATAACCATGGGTCAAGTAACCTTCTGAACAGACTGTATGTAGGTATTTACCTTCTGCCAGGAATGACAGAGGACTTTACCATACCTGGCCAGCTTTCAGGAACATATAGACAATTTAAGGCTTGTTAGGTTTATTGCCAACTTGCTTCTTTTGAGGGCTTACAATGCCTTCAGCAACACAGCAAGTTATCACATGATTTTAAATGGCTTGTTTCTCCCATCCTCCTTCAGGAAATAACCTTAATCCTAAGGTGTGACTGAAAAGTACAGTGAATATTTAATTTTTTTTTTATAAAAGTTTACTAGCCGTGCATGATGGTGCACACCTCTAATCCCAGCACTCAGGAAGCTGAGGCGGGGGATCATTTCGAGTTCAAGACCAGCCTGGGCTGCAAAGTGAGCTCAAGGCCAGCCTGAACTTCATACTGAGACCCTGTCTCAAAAAAAAGCTTATTACACATTGCCATTAATCCCCCTCAAAATAGTCTCCCTCCTGCTAACATACTCATCCCATCATTCTTGCCACTTTCTGAAGCAGTTCTGGAAGTCCTCGTTCATCAGTGTCTTCAGCTGTGCTGTCCTGGCTCCACTGATGACCTTTCCTAGTCATTCTGACTCTGAGGAAGAGCCGGAAGTCGAATGATGCCAGATGCAGTAAACAGAAGTGGATGAGGACACACAGTAACGTTCCCGCAAGCCTGCCTTTCTATTGGATGACAGTGGCAACATTCACCATATTTTTTATCAATCTTTGAAAAGACCCTGGTGAAAGAGGACTTCTAGAACTGCTTCAGGAAGTGGCAAGATCAAAAAGACAAAAACAAAAAAATTACCGGGTGTGGTGGCACACGCCTGTAATCCCAGCACTCGGGA